ACTTAGTAGGTTGTTCGGTCTACTTGTTGTAGTTCCGTGACTAGAGACTTATATCTGTTATTTTAATTAATGAGGTTTTCAGTTAGCTGTCTTCTGCAATTTACATACAGGCATGGTTTTATTTAAATGAATAATTAAGCAAGTTGGTAATGATAATAACGTCATAAATGAAAAGAAAAAGATATTCCGCATTTTTAATTAAGCGCAGCTTAATACGATGATATGATAACATTACCGGATATATACGGGGTGTTACAGTCACGAATCTGTTTTCATAGCATTCACATCATCAATATTCATAGTCTAGAATTCTATTAAGGTTTTATATTGTATTTAATGCTTCCCAACTTGTTAAAATCGATTTTAGACTCAATCTGCCAAAAGTATTCGAATACTCCTCGATAAGTATTCGAATACTTTATGTTCCCAGAAAAGTATCCCAACAGTTTCACTATGGTTGTCTTTATGTATGTGCTTATGAACTATGGTTGTTGATATAATTGCTGGTCCGAAACAGATTGTTATTCTGTTGTGTTTGGGCTTTGAGCTTGTGTGAACTCTTGGCTTGAATAGCTAGCTTGCAAGGTAAGCTTTCGTGTCCTCGGTTTAGCCATTGTTTGTTCCACCATGTCCCATGGGGGATGGTTATATGCATGATGTGTTTTCATGTATTGTTTTACTGAAATGCTATTAACTATTAAGTGCAAATGCTATATGATATGTATGTGGTGTTCCGCCTAGACAGGAAGCCATGGGGTGGTCTTGTGGGCGGGTACAACATGGACGTGTACTGTGTGGGTAATAGACGTATTCCTGCACTTCTCTAATCAGTAGAATAGTTATAACACACATGACATGATTATCTGCTGCATTGCACTAATTTTGGAACTGATATTGAATTACTGCTTTTAGAACTTATATTGCACATGTAAGTGAGCTTGGAGTGGAAGATCCTTGAGGACCCCTTGTCTTACTGAGATTTCTGTTTAGAGATCTCACCCCACGTTTAGGGCACCTTTTTAGGTTCAGGTAATGCGGGGGTTGAGACCTCTAGCGGCAGGAGGCCAGAGCTTAGCTGATTTATATGTTGTTATGCTGCTTATGGTGGATGCTGAATTATGCCTGTTGCTATTATGTTTTTAGCTTCTTGTTATGTTTTTTATTTGAGACTCGATTGAGCCTTGTTGCCTATTTGGTGAGCATGGGGATTGTCCATGCCACATTTGCTTTGTATTGTTGTTTAGATTTGAGTTGTTTAAACTATCAGGACTGTCCGGCTTACGTGTTGTAGTGCCGTGACTAGAGACTCAATTAATTATCTTAATTATGTTATGAGGTTATTCAGTATAGATATTTGTCTTTTGCATTTACATACAGGCAATGTTTTGGAAATGAATTAAGTAATTCAACTTGGTAAGGATAATGACGTCATAATTGAAAAGAAAAAAATATTCTGCATTTATTTAATTAAGCGCGGCTTAATACGATGACATGTTAACAAACCGGGTATACACGGGGTGTTACATCATGTGTGTCAAATCCTACTGGTCAGAGAACATGCAGGAATTACATACGTCTACAACCCACAATCAGTGCAAGACGCTACTTGCACTCACCCACAGAATCACCATATTGTATGACGCTACATACTCAAGCTTACCGTCTAGGTGAAACAACACATACATATCATAAGGCACTTGCGCTTAACAGCTCAATAGCATTTCAAATATCAATACATGAAAACACATCATGCATATAAACCATTCCTACATGAGGTATGGTGGAACCAACGATGGCAAAACCGAGGACACAAAAGCTTATCTCTTAAGCAATCAATCCAAGCCAAAGTCCACACTAGCTCAAGGTCCACCAACAACACAATCACAATCTATTTAGACCAGTAATCATATCAACATTCATCATCTAATAATTCAAGACATAATGACAACATTTTCTTCTTCGTCTCATGCCTTTAGACTTCTCTCAAAGCCATAAGCCCTTAATCCATTTGATTATGACTTAGTTAATTATTACAGAGGTCCAACTCAGCCAATCTAGGGTCCATAAACCCAATATTCAGTTCTGTATAAACAGCACAGTGCACCACTCGCACTTTCCCAGAATATCCGGATATATGTCGAGGCCATATCCGGATATCCATATCCGGATATCTCCAACCTCATATCCAGATATCAATATCCGGATATCATATTCGGATATTTCGCGACAGAATGCAATTTCTGCATTTCGCGAGATATCACTTTCAAAGTTTCGTTTTTAACACTTTTACCTAACCAAACATGTATTTTTAGACACTTTAAGGTCAGTGATGGTGTTGGTTACCTACTCAACTCATTTTACATGTCAAGACTCAACTTTTAACATAGAAAACTCATGACAAGTGATAGTGTTTACCACCCAAGCTCAAAACAGCAAGAACAAGTGCTCTTGGAGCTCATAAGTCAGCACCAAAGATCTGACTTCAAGGGTCCACGAAATGGCACACAAAGCTTGGTCTTTTCTCTTCAAAGGTAGCTTCTTGAAGCTCAAAATGTCATCACAATGGCTCCCACAACTCACACCAAGAAGTCAGCCCCTAACCCTCACTCACACTAACACTCAAACTCAGAAATGCACTCCCATTCAACTTCCCAAGGCTTGAGCACACTCACACATGGAGTTTTTGTTGAGAAACCAAGAGGAAATGTGGCCTCTTGATGGCTCAATGGAGAGGGAAGAAGGTGGAAAGGTGGCTGCCCAAGGCTTCAGAAAAATGCTACGTAGAGATGCCAAAACCTGACCTAGGATCATGTGCCACCTCTATTTATATGTATATTAATTTTAATCTCACTGTATTAGCACTAATAGCTACGCTTATCATTTTAATCCCAAAATATGAATTATGAACCTTTCCATTTTTCTAGAATTTATCATATTTTTATTATAATTTTCGCAGCACTTTGCCGGTACGCGCTTTTACGTAGCCGGTATCAGTCCTGACGCCAGTTCTCATTATTTTGACTTCAAACTTTGTATTCCTGTCCTAAATATTATTCTAGGATTATATACATACTTTTCATAATTTTCCGGGATACTTCATCGGTACGCACTTATACCGTGAGACAAAATCGGTATATGCACTTTTCGTCAGAAAAGCAACTTTCAGCATTATTAATCACTTACTATAATTATTTAAGCCTTCTCATAATCATTTAGGGTCAATTATGAAATTATCTCTTTAATCTCATATTTAAATTAATTAAATTCCTGAATTAACGGTGCGAGTTCTTACATTGGTCCTAAATGAACTTAGGAGGGGGTGAATTGAGTTTTATAAAAAACATTCTAATTAAAAATTTAACTCAAAGTAATAATTCAAGATAAGAATAGAGAGATACAGACACAATAGTTTTTACGTGAAAAACTCAAAGGAGAGAAAAATCACGAGCCCTAATATTGAATACTGAAATCTGACGGACAACTTCACCATGACACTAGCTTACAAGGAGCTCTCTAGTATCCTAATTTTCTAGTCTACCCCTTGTATTGATTTTCACCTAGTATCCTAGTTTTCCAATATGAAATCCTATCTCTTTAGGATTTCGAAACCCTATCACACAAGGGTTCTCAAGTCACTCTCAATAAAAAAAAGAAAAGATATACTCGTATCTCAGTTTCTCAACACAATGACTGGTATCTAAATTTACTAGTACAGACCTCAAAAAGGACAAGAATTGGTTCATCGCTTCATAACTAATCCGATTCTAGGCGGGTTTCAAAATTAAAACTTTAAAATTTGTCAAAGAAAGATTAAATATATACTCTCATTCCAACCTATCGAGTTCTCTGACGTCAAGAGCTACTATCATTTGATAATAAGGCTTAGAAGAGGATGGCAAGGGTTTGTTAGAATAAGGTCAAGACCAAAATGATCCTGAAAATGTAGCAAAGCAGCAATACTTGCTTGAAAATAAAGAAAAACCTAAATATAGAAATGAGACAGATGGAAGGCAAAAACATGCTAAAGCCAACAAAAATAAAAATTAAAAAAAGTTTGAAGAAATTTCATCTAAAGAAAGAGAAAAGAAAATGAAGAAAATGAGGACAGAGCCAAAATTGTCATAAGCAAAGTCTCATTGGAGCAGAGCCATCGATTCGTGCAGTCTCCATCTCGCGTCTCAAAACTGAAAAACAAATAACACCAAACCCATCTTTCCAAAAACCTCACTCACACTCTCAGTCTCCACGGCCTCGCTCTGCACGGGAACGTGTGTGTGTGTGTCGCTCTCTCTCTCGCTTCCAAAACAACAGAAACACATACCAAACATTGAATGAACTTCAACCCCAAAACAACAAAAATAGACATAAAAGAAAATGAAAAATTAAAAGAAAACGAAAAAGTGTTAAAATTCTTAGAGCCGCGTTTTTCAGAAGCAGTACAATCATGACACCCCCTCTCTAATCATGCACTTACACACCCTTCTTTCTTTCTCTCTCTTTTCTCTATCAGGATGACACATCAAAATTACAATGGTGCTGCCTCGCTTAATTGAAAACAAAGTTTTTTATTTTATTTTTATTTAAAAACAAAAAAAAACAAAAACCGAACCGTCTCATTCACGGCAGTTCCCACACTCTCTTGACTTTTTAGTATTTTCTCCTTTCTGTTGCTACTTTTCATCGTTTCGGATGTTTGCTTTAGCTTGCTGTGATCTTCTCCACTTTGTGACTTTCCCTTTTGGAGATTATGGCAGTGCCATCATCTATCTATCAAACCAATTGGCGCATTCAAAACCCTCTTCAGAACTTACCACAACAACAACAACAAATATAGAAACCTCATTACATTAAAAACTTAAACCCACACACCATACCAATCTACCTAGTTCAACTCCAATGCTACCTTCTTGTTACACTTGTTCTAGTTCCTTCCTTTGGTCTCTCTAAGTCTCTCTCCCTCTATCATTCAAAACCCTTCTTTTTAAACCCATTTTTCAATAATGGGTGACAAAGCAGACACAAGCAAGAAGCAGCCACAACAACAACAAACACAGCAAATTTCATCTTCTCCCAAAGCCCCACTTGAGGAATCAATTACAGAAGCAAGGCCAATCCATCACCAACAATCACCAGTTGTGGTAGTCAGTGGAGCTTCACCTTTCATTTCAAGTCCTCTATACGTTTCAAGTGGTGCAAGTTCCTCACCATTTGAACAACATTTTGAGACACTGAACCCAAAGAGACCAAGATACACTGGCCAATGGAAGCTTCTACCATCTCCACCAACACAACAAAAACATTCCCAAATGGCCATGCTTCCAAGCGAATCAAGCCCTTCACCAACAACACACACATCAAACCCACAACGCCAAACCCAAACTCATTCCTCAGCAGCAGCAGCTTCTTCATCAGACACAGCCTCATCTCCAAGTCACTCTCCAATGCCTTTGATTTCTGGCCGAGAAGGGAACAATCCAGAGGGAGAGCAAGTTCATCATCAGCAACTAAGAAAAGGGAAATATGTAAGCCCAGTTTGGAAACCCAATGAGATGCTATGTTTAGCAAAAGCATGGAAAGAGCAATACCAAGGTAGTGGTGGTGGTGGGTCTAATGGTTCATCATCTTCCAGATCAGAGCAACAAGGTGAACTGGGAACTACTAGAGGAAAAACTAGGGCTGATAAAGATAGAGACGTTGCTGAATTTCTAAGGAAGCATGGTGTCAATAGGGATGCTAAAACTGCAGGGACAAAATGGGATAACATGTTGGGAGAATTTAGGAAAGTTTATGAATGGGAAAGAGGGGGTGAAAGGGAACAAATTGGAAAGAGTTATTTTAGGCTCTCACCTTATGAGAGAAAGCTTCATAGACTCCCAGCTTCTTTTGATGAAGAGGTTTTTGAAGAGCTTTCACAGTTCATGGGGTCCAGAATAAGATCCTCTCATGGCAGAGCTGGTTCCTCCTTTTTATCTGGAGATGAAGGTAGAACAGGTTTTGCTGGGACAAGAGCTCTGCCACCACCACCTCGTTCTATCAAAGAAGATGAACTTCCTCTCTCAGGTTTGGAAGTAAAGCATGAAAGCTCTATATAGCATGAAAATGGGATAACATAGGAACCTCACATACCAAAACAGTTTTTTTTTTTTTTTTCTCTCTCTCTCTATTAAACTTTCCCCTTCATCACCTAGTCTTCAATGCACTTGTCTAACGTAATTGGACAAGGTAAAGTTTCTGTTTTTATTTTCTGTTTTTTTATTTTTACTTATTTTTTCCCTTCCCTTTTATGGAATGCACAGTAGTTTTGAGACATTCACGAATAGTTCATCAAGGGCACGTATATTTACTGTGATTCTCTGACTGCTGCAAGCAGTGTTTCCCTCATTCTTCTAGGAATGAATGCTTTAGGTGGTGAAAAAAATGAGAATCTGATCAAGTTTCCAGCTTAATTTCTAATCTCCCACTTCGTCATTGTTTCAGCTAGGACAAAGCAATTGGCTATGATAAGTGGGGGTGAAGCTTTCTTTCATGGCACAAGAGGGAGCTTATTAGGGTTGGACTCTCTCTTGGATATTTCAGGCACTTCTTCTTCCTTAGCTTCTTCCTCTAAAGAACTCAGAAGAATTGGGAAGATAAGAATGACATGGGAGGAATCAGTGAGCTTATGGGCTGAAGAAAGTGAACTCCATAGAGGGCGAGTGAGGCTTCAATCTTCAAGCTTTTTGAATGCAGATGAGCTCACTTTCTTTGATGATGCCATGGTGCCTTGCCTCATGGAGTCTTTCGAAGATGGTCCTCTGAAAGGTTTCTCTGTTGACAGATTCGTTTCTGGACAACAAGTCAAAGTTTTTGGCAGAAAAAAGTCTTCTTCAGCCTCATCTACTACTGGTACCAAACAAAACCTGTTCCTTAACTATTTTCCTTTGTTTTACATATTCTAGGATTCCATGTTAGAATGTGTGTGTGAGTGTGTGTGTTTCTCTCTTTCCCAGGTTTTGCTGAAAGAGCTCAACTTCCCTCCAAAGCACTTTCCCTAAGATGTGAGTTTTTTTCTTTGGCCTTATTCTTTGAGCATTAAATTTATCTAGCACTATTGTGGGGCTAAATTTGGAACAATTATTTAATTTTGGGTTTTGGTACAGCAATTGCTTCATTGGACTTTCGGGACCCAACTGAGTACTACGTGGGTTGCCTCCAACGATTGTCACCACAAGCATTACCAAGTTTGTTTGATTTGAAGCGGCTTTTGCAAGAGCCACCACCAGAAGACATGCGTTTTCCACTAAGAAGGGATGTATTCGATTACTTGCCTCAAGGGAAGGAACTATTCTTCACAACTTCAACTGAACCATTGGATTGTAGAGCCATCGTGTATGACATAGTAGCCCCCATCATACGAAACAACCCTTGTGCTACTACGTCAACAAGCAGAGACTCCTTCATAGGCCTCTGGGATGATTGCATCAATAGGGTTGTGTCAAGGTTCTGCCCTGAAGAAATGGTGATTACTAGAAAACCCACTTGTGCATCATCATCATTATCAACCGAAATGTTGCAAGATCAATGGCCTAATGTGACTGGTTTCGTTAACAATTATTGCTTATGGAGAGGTGAAGAAACTGATCAATTAAGAGAGGGTCAAATTGACCCTTCATCAACCATAGTTGGAAAGTTACTATGGACTTATATGGACCTTCCCTATATCCTTGGATACTATGCTATTGGAAATGTTGTAACATTTTGTGCATTGACTAGGTCACAAGAGGGAATAATCAACCGTATTGATTTACATGAAATAAATCTAACATCATCATCCGATAGAATCAAAGCACTGGTCCCATGTTTTAGGATTGGTGCTTTGTTACCATTGTTAAGCAAACGTTGTTGTAACCTTAGCAACTGCAAAGCGTTCGCATACAGTGATTTTGAAAGGTTTGACTTGGGTAACGGCGTTATAACCGAGATGACACCAAACACATGCAAGAGAGTGTTCATTGAGAAGAGAAAATGGGCATCGGCGAAGGAAGTTTACGAGATTCTTGACCATCGAATCCCACATGCAGAGTTTTTGTTTCAATCTTCGGAGAAAGAGTTGAGTCTTGTGTTCAAGCCAAGAGGGTGTAGGGTGAAACCCTTGAACTGTGTAGAACTCGTGGAGGCGCTGAAGTACGTGACGAAAGCGTTGGTGGCATTGCACGACTTGTCGTTTATGCACAGGGACTTGTGTTGGGAGAAGGTGATGAGGAGGAACGACAGGGAGAATGAGTGGTTCGTTTGTGGGTTTGATGAGGCTGCCGGTGCTCCGGAGTTGAACAAATACGTGAATCAAGGGGCGGCGGCGCGTGGTGGTAACGCGCCGGAGATGGAGAGAGGGTTGCATGGGGTGAAGGTGGACGTGTGGGGTGTTGGGTATTTGATAAGGACGTGTGGGTTGGCTGGGGTACCAAAGATGCTGAGGGAGCTTCAGAACCGGTGCATGGAGCAGAATCCAGAGCAGAGGCCCACTGTCGCCGACTGTTACCACCACCTGCTGCAGCTGCAGTCGTCTCTGTCAGCTGCCGCCGGTGGAGTTCTGATGTGATTGATATGATCCAACACATAATTGTTATTGTTCTTTGTTATGGTTGTTGTTTTTTTTACTTTTATTTTATTTTATTTTCCTTCCCTTAATATCAATGAGTCATGAATAAATATTGTGGTAGTTGGGGTGCACTTTGAAAAGGGGTCAGCGTTTGCTGTAACTTTTGGCATTAAAATTGGAAGATTGAAAAATGGAAACAAAATAAGCGTTTTTTGAATATTTTCTTAAAGCATTTTGGGAGAATAATTTTAGTGTTCATGTAAAATTTAAGAACACTTAATATGTTTAGCTCAGTTGGAAATAAGGAAAAAAATTTGGATTTGATTCTCATTAAACATATTTTTGAGAAGAAGAGAGTTTTAATTGTGATTAAGTTTGGCTTGATATTAGTTTTATAATCAGTTTAAAGAGTTAAAATTTAGGAATATACTTTGAGAGATTAACTTGCATTAAATAGGTAATTAGAACACTAAAAGTACATAATCCCAAAATTTCCGATGGGTGACGCACTTAAAAGAATTTTTTAGATTATATATTTGAATAATTGTCATGCTGATGGATTGGATATTACTTTTATATTCTTTTTCTTACCTGAGTCTTGGAAATATCTGAAATCCAGATTTACCTTGAAAGACCGTACTTAGGGACTCATAAAAAATAAATAAAAAATATATTCCCTTGTATAATTGCATTTACATATTATTTTAGGCAACTTTTTCCTAAATGCAATTAGGTGAAAAGTGCATGAAGTGGGTGTAATACTGCAGTAACATTCAAAATATTCTGGAATTTTTGATACGTTATAAATGTGAAGAGTAATTAAGGTAGGGGCCGATTCTGGTAATTTTGATACCTTGCAAATGGGGAGATTATTTATTGTGGTCCGGGACTACTATTTTTTAGGTGGTTTCTTAATGTAAATGAAGGGGTAAAATTGAAAAAGAGAAAAAATAATAAGAGTAAAAAGACAAAGATAAAATTAATGATATAAAAAGAAACACCAGATCATTGAATGATCCTGAACCATAATAAATATTTCTGTAAATAGGAAGGGCAATTTGGTAGGGCCTTGGTAGGGGCCCCGGAGAGGGGGCAATGGTATATATCATATCAGACATTGGACGTGGAATTGGCGGCTGATGCTGCTTTTGGTGTGATATAAGTTTCATCAAATCAAATCCTCGAATTGAAACACTGTATGTATGCAGTGGAGTGCAGTGGAGCAGTGTTTTTCAGTTTTAGAATGGTACATGTCGAACCTGAGATGAGGTAAGGTGGGCATTGTTTGGTAAGCATGGCTGATTGTGCTCCTTCGTTGATGTTAGGTGAGAATCTTGATATTTGATGAATGTTGATTTGTTCCCCCTCCCCGTCGAAATTTTTTAATATGCTTCCATTAAATGAGTGATATGTGAATTTTTTTATTTTATTTTATTCTCATTTTTTCTGTCTTCTCAATCTCTCTTTCACTTTCTCTCCTCAGCTCCACCCAATGTTTCATGGACCGGGAGCTCTAAAATAAGTTTCCTCCCCTTCCCCGTCCCTGTCCCCCCCTTTATTGCAACAGTGATTAAAATATTATTGTTCATTAAATTTTTTATTCAAATATCATGCGAACAGTGTTATTTTTTAATATGTCACGCGGACAAGCTCGCTATAGTGTCCAGCGAACTTGGTAACCAATGATTTCGTTACACGTGGCACACTTTCATAGGAAAAACTAACTGACACATGTCCAAATTCGCTACGACCGGTAGCGAACTTGGTAGCCAATAACTTCGTGACACGTAGCACAATTTCGCACAAAAAGCTGACTGGACGAAGTTCGCTACCAGGTGTGCTACGTGTAGGGATGTGCATGGGTTGAACCGAACCGAATTTTTTGAAAAACCAAACCGAATTGATTTAAATGGTTTGGTTCGAAAATGGTTCGTTCGGTTCAAAACTGGTTTGGTTCAGAAGTGGTTCGGTTCGGTTGGAAACGATTCGGTTCGGTTCGAAACCGGTTCGGGTCGACCCTATTTTGAAAAGAAAAAATCTAAAAATTTTAAAAAATAAAGTTATAAAAATCAACTTGGTTTGATTTGAAAATGGTTCGGTTTGGTTCGGAAATGGTTTGGTTCAAAATGGTTTGGTTCTTAAACTGCGGTTCGGTTCATGAATTGGTTCTTTAAAAACCGATTTGGTTCATGAACTGGTTTTTAAAAACCGGTTATTTTAAGGGCGATTCGGTTCGGTTCATGGTTCGGTTCAGTTTTTTGGTTATTGTGCACACCCCTAGCTACGTGGCACAATCTCGTTGCCCGATCAGAATTAATGTACCAATCACAATAAAAAATAGAAAATGACAATTAATTGTTATTAATGTATTAATCACAATTAATGTACCAATCACCAATCACAATTAATATATCAATCATCATTCACAATTAATTTTGATCACAATTAATGTACCCATCACTGTAACACCCCGTGTATACCCGGTTTGTTATCATGACATCGTATTAAGCTACGCTTAATTAAAATTGCGGAATAACTTTTCTTTTCAAATATGACGTCATTAATATTAACCAAGTTGATTACTTAGTTCCTTTTCAAAACATCGTCTGTATGTAAATTGCAATAAAGCTAAATACACTGAATAACCTCAATATATAAATAATTGTGAGTATCTAAGTCACGAAACTACAACACGTAGTCCGGACCTTAATCTTGATACAATTATACAACTCAATACTAAAATAAGACATAGTCAATCAATGTGGCATGGACAACCACCATGCTCACCAAATAAGGCAACAAAGCCCAAAAGAGTCTCAACAACAAATCATAATAAAGGCAATAAAACAGAATAATAGCCACGCATATCAACACAACATCAAATATCTCAACTCAGCTCCAGCCTCCTGCCACCCGAGGTATCAACCCCTGAGTTACCTGAACCTGAAAATGTGCCCCAAACGTGGGGTGAGATCTCTAAACAGAAATCTCAGTAAGACAAGGGGTCCTCAAGGATTTCTCCACCCCAAGCTCACTTACATGTGCAATATAAGTTCTAAAAGCAGTAAAACAATATAAGTTCCAAAATCAGTGCAATGCAGCAGAATAATCATCTCATGAATGTCAACTATTCTACTGGCCAGAGAAATGCAGGGATTTACATACGTCTATTACCTACATTCAGTGCAAGTCACTACTTACACTCACCCACAGAATCACCATATGGTATGTCTCCTACATACACAGGCTTACCGTCTAGGTAAAACAACACATACATATTATAAGCACTTGTACATAACAGCTCAACAACATTTCAAAATCAATACATGAAAATACATCATGCATATAAACTAGTCCCCCGTGGGGTATGGTGGAACCAACAATGGCTAAACCGAGGACACGAAAGCTTACCTCTTAAGCAATCAATCCAAGCCAAGTCCACACAAGCTCAATGTCACCAAACAATACACTCACAGTTTGTTTATATAATAATTAATCATCAATAATCATTGCCCAAGGTTTCATTAAGTGATTAAGGCTTTCCAACTCATTTTAAGTGATTTAAGACTAAATCTGCAGGAGGTAATCGAATACTCCTCGATGAGTATTCGAATACTCCTCGATGAGTATTCGAATACTCCAAGTCTCTAGAAAGTATCTGAATACTTTCACAAAGGTATTCGAATACCACATGGTATCCGAATACTTTTCCTACGGTATCCGAATACTACTCAGTATCCGAATACATTTCCCCCAGTATCCGAATACTTCCCAGTATTCGGATACTTCTTCAAAGGTATCCGAATACTTTTCTTCCCAGAAAAGTATCCCAATACTCCTTCAAGGAGTATTCGACTACCCCTTGATAAGTATTCGAATACTACCCGAAAAATATTGTAATACTTATCAGACAGAATGCAGAAACTCGAGTTGTTCACTGCATGATCCCATTTTTAAGTGTTCAAATGCGATTGGGAGTCCAATAACTCCCTAAACAGATGTTCATTAACATATTTTAGACTCAGAATCTCAGTCCTTAACTCAAATGATCAAAGTTTCATTTTTAAAGGATTAAACAAGCTTAAATCATGAAAACACAAAGGTGGTGATCATGGTATACCTCCAAGGCTCAAAACTCCGAAAATGACACTGACTTGGAGCCTCCAACACAGCTCCAAGGTGCTGACTTTGAAGAACCACGAAAATGCAACACAAGGTGGGTCCTTTACATAAAAAAAGGTGGCTTCTTGAAGCCTTAAATAACAAGAACAAGGTTCCCACAACCCCAAACAATGAAGTCAGCCTCAAACCTCTCCCAAACAGCAGTTTCTACTCAGCAAGACGGTGCCTTTCTCCCTTACGATGTATACTTTCAAGTGCTCAAAAGATGGAAGAGAAAGAATCAAGTGACAAGACTATGACTTGGTTGGTTTCATGAGAGGAAGGCAATGGAATAGTGTAAGGAAAGGTGGCAGCAGCCAAAAAGCACCAGCAGCTCTACGTGGGAGTATTAGAATCTGACCTAGGGCATTGTGCCCTTAAGTATATATAGGTCTATTAAACTAATCACACAGTATTAGCACTAATAGTTACGCTTATCGTTTTAATCGCAAACTTGGGATTTTGAACCTAGTCTCTTTTTAAAGATTTTTCATATTTTTATTTTATTTTTCGCAGCCCTTCGCCGGTACGCGCTTTTACGAATCCGGTATCAGTTCTGACACCAGTTCTCATTATTTGGACTTGAAACTTGATATACTGGTCTTATATATTATTCTAGGAATATTCTCACACTTATTATAATTTTCTGAGATACTTCATCGGTACGCATTTATACCGTGGAGCAGAACCGGTATTTGCACTTTTCATCATAAAAACGACTTTCCACATTATTATTCACTTACTATAATCATTTAAGCCTTCTCATAATTATTAGGGTCAATTATAGAATTATCTCATTAATCACATAATTAATTTATTAATTTCCTAAATTAACGATG